TACGATGGTACGAAAGTGTTTCTATTGGTTGGAGATTTGTCAATTCGTCGTACGAACTGATAGATCTAATAATTCGATAGATCTCATCATTGCAAATTGTAGCTATCGGACTATCCAATAATTATATAACAAATGAATCAAATACTACTATCGAATAATTCAAATAACTTACGTTTCAAATTGACTTATTAACTACTTAAAACTATCGAATGATTCGATACTTTTTATTCGATAGTTCCCATCACTAGCCTAAACCATATATTTCCTCTTATATGAAGCAGCCAAAGTGGTTAGGCCACGCGGTCAAAAACCCTAGTTTTTGCAAACAATTAAATTTTTTTTATTTCAAATAACACTTAATAAAATAATTCAAAATGGTATCTTGTTTTGCAAAAATATTTGAATATACCTTTTACGTTAAGAATGTTATTAGTGTACCTATCCAAAACTTTGGGCTTAAGCCCCTTTGCATCTCATAGCTTCAACTGTACTTGCGTCTCACATGTAGGTGCACAATAACACCACATTGAATAGCAGGCGTAAATTCATTTCAAGGAAAGAATGGTGATTCTTAAGTTGTTCACAGAAATGGAGCAGCCTACCTGATGTATGTATGGCCCTTTACCTTGAAGGACAAGTGTCCATGGCCAAGGGTGGTGTTGGGTCAGCTCACACCTAGTTTTAAGAAAGGGATCAACTGACACGCTGCTGAGACAACTAATTTAGTTAGTTGTTAGGTACCTTTCCACTACTACTAAGAATTTAAGTCCACTGGCGCGAAGACTGACACAGTTTGTAACGTGACATTGTAACGACAACGAATTCTGGAAATGAGTCATGATCTCAGCCTGCACCAAGGACGGATCCAGAAGGGGGTTATGAGTGTCATGACTGGGTGGATTTTTGGGCCCCTTATGATGGGCTTATGGCGACTAATCATTATTTTTCTTATTCCATATACAATTTAGCGAACTAGATAATTTGTACGATAGCAAACACCAACGCGAATGACATCCGTATCATGAATAATATTATAATTACATAAGTTATTATAATTACATAAGACAAAAAGACCGATAGGTCGATAGCAGTGGCGGCGCTAGGGGTGGGCGAGGTTGGGCAAGTGCCCATCCAAAATTTGTCTCGCTCAACCACTTTTAATAGCGATATAAATAATTGCGAATTAAAAAATCAGATCAAATTCGACAATAATGATAGTGAACGTGAAAACATTCCGAGTTGTTCGGGAATTGAAAAGTAAGTTTTTAAGTACTTAATATTGATAAATTATTTTCTAATCTAAATATGGGTACTTGTTTCTTGCTAGGTCAAGAGCCAAATATGTTGATATAACTTTCAAGACAGCCGGTGCAAATTTTCCTAAAAAACAGTATAGTTGGGATCTTCCCATCTAGTTTTAAGTTCAGTGAATACATCAAGTATGCATGGTTTAAGTACAGCATTATCAAAGGTGCTGTATTTCGTTTTCCCTTGTAGATTTTTCCATTGTTTCAACAGCAAGGTGGAACCAGCAGTTTGAGTTTTGTTACCAAAGGCTACAACAACTGGAAATATCTGCAGAAATAAAAGCTATGTTTAAAAACATAATTAAGCACATTTAATCCCTCTACAACCATTTTTTTTAAAACCTAGAAGGTTTATTTGTCGAGCTAACCACCTAAAGCCACTGATTTTTTACAAAATTGAAATCGGTTGAGAAATATTGAAAGTCAGAAGAGTCAGAAACGACGATTTTGCAAGATAACTGTTATAAAGGTTTTCTTTGTGGAATTAAAATCGCAATTTTTTTGGAAAAACGGCTAGATTGTTAGCAAAGTGAATTCGTGACACATTCATTATAAAAAAAATGGTGTGCGTCACGGGACGCTCGACAGAAGTGATAACTTCATATATTTATAGAAACCATAAAATATTGATCTTGTTTAACGCATGATGACAATAATAATTGTATTTTCTAATTTTAATATTCTTGTTAGTCTAATAATTTATAAATGGATCAAGAATAGGTAAAATGTGATTTAATTCAACTAGAGGTTGTACATGTTGCTCCTCTTGGGTTTGTGTAAACTCTTCTTCTTGAGTTTCTGTATTTTTTAGTCGTAATTTCTTATTTGATTTGTATACTCTTTGACGTTCAGCACTAGTTCTTGGTTGATGAAAGCTACTTTGAGTTGATCGATTACTGAATACTCTTTTTTTAGCACGAAATCGTTTTTGGGGTTCAGCATTACTTAATACTTTTCGCATTGTAGCATGCTTTTGTGACTGCTCTTGTGTATGTTGTTCATGAACGTCTGCTTCAACTTGTATCTGAATAGGACTAAAAAATCAATTAATTTTGGTGATTGGAAGACGTTCAATCTGTTTAAAATATACGGTAAAACGAGGAAGAGCTATTGAAACAGAACACACTTGATACACTATTCAGGGTGGTTTTGTAGTGCGATAGAGGCCATTCTTTCCATTGGTGTTGAACTATCCAAAAATAGTTTCAGATAAAAGTTGTTGACGCACAAAGTGTGCACATTTTAAAAATATCTTATATGATACAAAGTGTCTCAGAAAAAAAGAGGCAAGATCAAAGTGTATTTTTTTAAATAGAACTACCCATTTTTTATTAGCTCATGGAATGCAGCTTGAAACGCTGAATATGCACCGTAAATTGTTTTTTTCTTACCTGCGTCGTTGGTAGATTATCGCCATTTTAGTAAAATTTTGTATACAAACATGGTATCTAAAAATTAATTGTAGAAGCAAAAAAAGCAGTTAAAGATACAAAAAAATACGTCTTTCCAATCACCACAGATCCGTTAACAATTCTATTGAACCAAAATATCAATACATTGTACAGGCTGGTAACAATGTGGACTTCAATCTGAAGCTTTTTAACGCAATATAACTTTTGTTTTTCAAATGGAAGTACCTGTATATTAATACGTCATTAGCTAGACAATTTACAAAGTTAGAAATTTGCATTTACACTTTAAGCTGTGAAATCAACCGTTTTCAAATTATAAATTATTTTATTTAAAAAAGTTGTTACATTTTGTAAGGTGGCTATGGAATTCGTTTTACGTGTCAAAATTTCATGATACTTGACATAATCAATGAAGAAAATTGCAACGTTTTATAAAATGCATGGAATTTTATAGCAAAAAATACAATAAAACTGCATACGTCTATGAAAATAAAAATATAAAATTATACCTACAGTGATATTTTAAAATAAATGTTCAATATGATTTCCGTTAATATTTAAGCAACTATTAATATCTACATTTTTGAAATGAATCGCTGACGGAGTTCAAAACAATATTAATTAATGCTTCGAAAAACAGTTGTGATTCGTTCCTTCATGTCATCTTTTGTAGTTGGAGTTAATTTATAAGTTTCGTTTTTGAAGTAAACCCATAAAAAATTAATTTTTGTCTAATCGGGTGACCGAGGTTCCCACTGAACAAGGCCACCTCTGCCTATCCACCTCTCAGAAAATTCATTATTTAGGTACTCATGAATTTGAGCTGTATGGTGAACTGGAGGTCCATCATGTAAATACCACATTCTTCCCTTGATATAATTAGATAAATTATCAATTAAACGTGGCAATTAAAATTTAGACACTAATTATTTTGTTGACTTCCATAGCCGCCTTACAAAATGTAGAAACTTTTTGAAATTTTTAAATAAAATAAATTATATATTAAGAGGTAAATGATGTGTAAAAGGTGTCAATGCAAATTTGTAACTTTGTAAACTGTCTATCTAATGACGTATTAATATACAGGTACTTTAATTTGAAAAACAAAAGTTAAATTGCGTTAAAACGTTTTAGATTGAAGTCCACATTGTTAATACCCTGTACAATGCAATGATATTTTGGTTCAATATAATTCTTAACGGATCTGTGGTGATTGGAAAGACGTATTTTTTTGTGTCTTTAACTGCTTTTTTTTGCTTCTTCAATGAATTTTTAGATACCATGTTTTCATACAAAATTTTACTAAAATGGCGATAATCTACCAACGTCGCAAGTAAGACAAAAACAATTTACGGTGCATATTCAGCGTTTTAAGCTGCATTCCATGAGTTAATAAAAGATGGGTAGTTCTGTTTTAAAAAATACACTTTGATCTTGTCCCTTTTTTTCTGAGACACTCTGTATTATATAAGATATTTTTAAAATGTGCGCACTTTGTGCGTCAACAACTTTTATCTGAAACTATTTTTCGAAAGTTTAACACCAACGGAAAGAATGGACTCTATCGCACTAAAAAACGACCCTATATGTATACATAGGGTAAGTCGTCGCGCGTATATTTAAAAAAAATTCTAACTCAACTAATCCAAGACTAAAAAAATTAAACTAAATTGGGAAGGTTTAATCATAAAGGAATCAAAGGGTATATGAAGAGAAAAAAAATTTGATGCGTGGTAAACCCAATTAATCATTGAAACTATGCCCTAATAAATTCGTTTTACATATTTTGCAACTATAAGCTGAAGAGAGATTCGTATCGTCTTAAAATCAAGAATGCGTTCCGTGATAGAAAATAAGAAGACGGAACCCATGTTTTCTGAAATAACCGAGGTAAACTCAAATCTTTTTTCAGTTAAATTTAAAACATTATACATTATTACAAAACAGTAATGATGTTTATCATTTTATGTTGAATGTGAAAGATTACAAAATAGATATCTAAATATTGATCATTTGTTGTTACAAAATAAAATAACAAATAATAGAACATATTATTGCATTAAAAGTTATTAATAATAGTTGTCACTTTATTTGCACATAATCTTGAGCGTTTGTTATCAGCGTTATAAAATAAACTGCATCGAACACAATAATATCACACTCAATAATTGATATATCAAAATCACTGTCCGTTTAATACCGCAATGTGTATTTGAAAAGTTTATCAGATCTACAGATGCACCCTCACTAAGAGAAAAATGTCGAATGGTGTCGTTGCACATTTTTTTTTATAAAATTGATGATTGACGAACAAATTAGAGCCCTACAATTTTTTTTCACATTCTGGCTAGTCGTAACAAATCTATCAGCGGTCAAAGTTTAAACTTACACAAAGTGCGCCGAAACGACGAGTTTTAGCTGATCGTAATGTGACATCACGAAGCATGATTCTGCTCCGCCACATTCAGCGCTTATACGTGTTTCCATGTTCTAATAGGGATATTGTGTGTTGGTTTGCTTGTTTCTCAATTACTAAAATTAAAATGGCTTATAAGTACCTACTGTAGGGTGCTACAGTGTACAAGTACCACTACGTCTACACCAGGAAAAACATTTGTAAAAGTGCCATTGAACGAAAAGAAACGGAAATTGTTGTTGAAAGCAGCGCGGCGAAACTGCACCGATCTTTCTGCAAAAAGTACACATTTATGCTTGTGACGAGCATTTCGATGTAAGTTCACATAAAAGCAATAATATTTATAGGGTTTTTAACCCTGTGTGTGTTCGTTAGATTTAAGTTTCACCTTTGTTTCATTGTGTGCAATTTTTGTTTATTTTATTTCACAGCTTAAAAAAGACATGGACAATTTTATGAAGTGGAAAATGGTAAGAGTTCAGAAAAGAATGAAAAAGATGTTGTTCCACATAAATTTGCGTGCCAAGAAGACAGAAAACGAAGTAGTGACGCTCCTGTACAAGCCGTAGTTTTGAAACGTAATAAACTTAATATTATAAATGACGCTCTAGAGGCTTTAGATGCAAGATTATACTTGGGTATAAATAAAGCTTTATTTATAATTAAGCGACTTAGATAGACTGCAAACTTGGGTTTGTAAATATTTATCTAGTTCTTCAAAAAATTCGAATTCACAAAACTTTTGCTTTGCTGAACTAAGAGATAATTTTGAATTTTCCGCAAGTACGAGTAAAATTTTTCCAAAATCCCTTCCGTTAATTAGCGAGATGTTAAAGAGTTTAATAGTCTGGATGCTACCTAATAAAGTTAAAAAAACGTCTAAAAAACCTATACCTTTTCATGCCCATTACAGTAAAGTTTACGCCATAATCGTTTGTTTAGAAATTTAAATTCAGAGCCGGAAGATCCAGTCAAACAACATGCGATGACCAGTTTCTGCACCACATCGAGGACCATGGGATAACTATAAGTTAGTTATAGGAAGCAAGAGAGGCTGTTAGGTTTAGGTTTAGGTTTAGGTTTATATTAGGTTAGTTAGGGTAATTTAKATTAAGTTATATACGATGACATATCTTAAGTTACATGGAGTGTTAGACACTCCAACGATGTTAGATTTAAGAAGCCGTAGATAAGTAGCAGTAGGAAGTTTGTAAACTTAGCTGATAATAAATATGTTCACATACTCAGTCAAACAAGCTCTTGCATGGTCAGATTACAAGAAAGCTAATAGCATAAAGTATCGATATCGTCAAACCCAGATGGCATAATAAATTATATTTATTAAGCCTTAAATGTTAATGTCTTAAAGACGCTTAGCTTGCTCCTATGCAATGGGCAAGTGTACATTCTGCTGGTTATGGGCATATAACTAGCGGACGATTTGTGCCACTCTACGTCAGACCCAGTAAAACAACGTTCTCGCGTGACGTCATTTTACAAGCAAATCTGGTAACTTTCGGTCCCTTTTTTTGAAATTCAAATTTTTTTCAGGCATTCTTCTAAACGACCTTCGCGCTATGTTTGGGAAAAGTTTCAGCCAAAAAAAAATTTTGTTCAACGACCCTATTCAAAGTGCATATGTGCGTCCCAAGCCTCAGACCGGAGTGGACGCCGACGTGACCGAGAAAAATCTGTTCACCGTCCCATAAAGTTACACTTCAAAAAATTTGTATTTGCAACAGTTTGGAAGGAAATGGGCTCTGAATATTGGCAAGCGTAAAACTCTCAAACTTGCACATATACCCACTCTTTACCTTGTAACTCGGTGCGCTATCCACATTTTTCAGAAATTCAAAAACTCTGGAAAATCTGAAAAAAAAAGACTTGGCATAAAAAGTTCTTTCATGACCAAAGTTGGACCATTTTGGTGGCCGTTTCCCTTGGTGCCTCAGAATGATACGAAACCTTTCATTTCGTTAAGTCAAGGGTGTTAAAGTTTAAAAAAAATGTTGGTATTTTCTCTTTAACTCCTACAGTTTATGAGATATTTTGCTCAAATTTTTAACGTGGGCTAATGTTTAGACCCTTTACCCGTACGTAAGGCGACTGGTGGTGAAAATCTACAGGATGTTCTTTTTCTAGAGGCATACCTTCTTTTACCCCCCGAACTTTTTATGATGCGCCACTGACTTCGACGGGACACATTTTTGAATTTTCTATTCAATTCAAGAATTTTCTGACCTCGTGGAGTTTTTTCGTGTCTGTCCTCGTTTTCGAGAAAAATATGAACAAAAGAATACAGAGAAATTTATAAAAGAATCATAGAAAATCAGCCAGAAACCATACATGGACTTACACAGGGTGTCCCGTAAGCACATGATCAAAATGATATTGCGATAGTCTTTGCACCAAAGGAAGACGATCTGATCTAACTTTTATTAACAAAAACTGTCTGGCTCCTCTGCTAATGATGGTAAAAATTGTTCAAAAAAAAATTATTTTTCGAAATATCGGAAGAATGGTACGATGTATTTCAGTGAAACTCGCTGTGAATTTGTTCTTATGCAAGACTCATATTTTAATGAAACAATCGAATTCATCCGTTTTGGATAAGTGGACAATTCTTGAGGGTCGTGGTACAAAAACTACCAGAACTTTTTATTTGGTGGATGCAATCAAACTCCATTTTTTTGTTTGATGCACTAATGATTTGTTCACAATTTTGTGCTCTTTGTTAAATCTTCTAGCATGCATAGTTTTTGCGAAAAGAAATATTTATGTTTTCCTGCCACTTAACAATGTATAATTAATATTAACTACAAAAATCGCGATACGAGACATAAAATAATTGCCAATCAATCTCACAAATTCGTTATGAATGACCTTTTCTAATAAAAAAGTGACCGACATGGGCAAAGTATTAGGGTTTTACGAAGACAATTTCCGTGAAAGTGTACGCGTTTACGCGGCGCATATTTTCAGTTAATGTTTAGCGTTGTTAAGTGGCAAGAAAACAGACATATTTTTTTGCGCTAAAACTATGAATGCTACAAGATTTTATAAAGAGCACAAAATTGTGAATAAATAATTAGTGCAATAACCAAAAAAAAATGAATTCACTCCGTCTACCAAGTAAAAAGTTCTGGTAGTTTTTGTATTAGGACACTCAAGAATTCACCACTTCCAAAACCACACCACAGTCCAAAACGGCTGAATTCCATTGTTTCATCAAACTATTAATCTTACATAAGAACACGTTTACAGCGAGTTTCACCAAAATATTTCGTACTATTCTCCCAATATTTCAAAAAAGAAATTTTTTTCTCAGAATTTTGACCATCAATAGCAGAGGAGCCAGGCATTTTTTGTTAATAAAAGTTAGGTCAGATTGTCTTCTTTTGATTCGAAAAATATCGCAGTACCCTATTGGTCATGTGCTTACGGGACACCCTGTATTTGATCAAATAACTCGAAAACTAAGACAGATGCGCAAAAACTCCAAGAGATCAGAAAATTCTTGAATTGAACAAAAAATGCAAAAATGTGTTCAGTGGCGCATCACAAAAAAGTTCGGGGTTAAAAGGGGGTATGCCTCTAGAAAAAAGAACACCCTGTAGATGTTCACAACCTATCGCCTCATCTACGGGTAAAGGGTGTAAACATTAGCCTATGTTAAAAATTTGAGCAAAATATCTCATAAACTAAAATTAAAGAGAAAATACCAACATTTTTTTGAAACCTTAACACCCTGTATCTTACATTTGGAAATGTTTTCCGGGCTTTGAAGCCGTGGTCCAAGAAAGAAATTCCGATAGACCACGGCTTCAAAGCCCGGAAAACATTTCCAAATGTAATCTGACCGGCCGTGAAAGCCTTCATACCCTGTATCTTGTTAACCACGGGCCTGAGAAAAACAACCTTAAATGGAAACTCGATTCGTTTTGAGGTCCTCTACACGCTCCTGCTGTGCCCATAAGGTTGTGAATCACCCTGTATATTGAGTATAATTTTATGCCCAGTACTTTGTTTGCACAACATTTGTGGACCCCATTTTCAGTTGACATTCATCTATTGGAAGTAAAGATCGTTCTGCAGAATCGTACGAGTGTTCTCTCAACCGATTTACAAGAAAATCGTCCTGCAATCGCATCCAACAAAATCGGTTCGATGGCGTTGTACGTGAGTGCCGGGCTTTAAAAGCAGAGCTCGTGAGTCATAACTATACGATAACAACAGGACATTTATTGTATGGCGTAATATATATTTTATATATATTACTATACATATAATATATACTTTACTATAGAGTTTACTTAGTTTACTGCAATATATTTTTTTAATGGTTAGAAAAAAAGGTTTTGGAATCGATTGGTTGATTTTCTCAACGTGAATAACGGTTTTCCCCTCTAATATGTCGTTGCTTCTAGAAAAATTCTAGACTTTAAAAAAATCTTGGGGTTAAGCGTTGTTCAGTCTTTTCAGGGACACCCTGTATATTAATTTTTTTCTCTTAAACGCGTCTTAGCGCGTGCAATACCTTCATAGGGCTCGCAATATGTTGTTTCCTTTCAGAATTTGCCACCTTTACTTTTTCGAAGCAAAACTTCCAGAACTTAGACCGTTGGTTTCAGCTGCATGTCCTGACAATTAGTTACTAGGCTGGATATCTTAAACGGCAAATTCATCAATAATGTTTATTTATTACGATGACTAGCATTATAAAGAAACTGACTTTTTGTCAGAATTGTTCAAAAGCATTCAGTTTGCTAGTTCATTTCCACCTTTCAGCCTAACAGATTAAATTTGACAAAACAGAGCTATCTACTTATTTTTTCTTATATGGTTCGACCCTGTGATCCAAATCGCCTCCTTTCTTGTGCACCTCAACGTTACACGAATTGCAATATAAATCGCCACCACAGTCGTAGCACTTCATTGTTGCGTCGTTGTTGCAAAGAACGCACCAGGGAAGTTCAGGGGATGAGCGAACGTAATCATAGTCTTCATCGTCATAATCATCATGAGGGAATGTCATCTTCGACCCACCCACTGGACATCTCTCAAGTGAAAGTTCTGCAACCATCTGAAAATAAAATTGCAAATTATTCTTCAACAGTTTCAGATCAGCTTATTAGGCACCACTTACTCGCTTAGTAATTCGCTCTACTTCATTTTCTGAGTCGGAATCGCTTGAAGTCCGTTCTTTTGGGAGGCTCTTAAGCTCTTCTCCTTTTAAGGCCGCGAGTCGTTGGCTTAAATCCTCGTGGTTTTGGTGTAATGAACCTATTGCTTGTTCAAAAGTGTATTGTTCCAAAAGGGCGTCGGCTTTCTCTTGATCAGTTCGCATGTCAGGCATGAAAAGCTGGTTAGAATAAAATATTTATCGCATGTGGTTTACTATGTTTTAATTACCAATTAAACTAGGAACTCACTGGCTTAGTAGCATTCGAGGAACTTTCAAAAGGACTGTCTTTTAACCGTGCCAGTCGTTCGCGTAACTCACTGTCTGAAGGCGGTAAGGGTTGCTTTTCCTTCAGCTTTTCCAGTCGATCTACCAATTCCTTGTCGGTTACTGATAATCCATTTTTCAAGGCACTCATCTTTGGGTCCTCCCTGTAGACGGTAATAGGGGGAGCTGCTGGATTTTCCAGGTTTTCCAGCCTCCTAAGCAAGAAACTGTTTAAGAACATTCATCATTCAAAGAAACTAAAAACGCACTTAAAAAATCTATCTGGAGGGATAAGAGTGTTTTCCTTATCGTCTGATTGGGTATTCAGTTTTGCGTAACAAGTTCGGCATACTTTGAATTCGCCTTGGCCCTTTGAAGGTATTTGGCACTTTTGCTGGAGGCACTTGCTGCATAATGAAAGACCACAGAGAGCGCATCCTGACTGAAAAAGAAAACTTTGCAGTTTTGGAGCCTTATTTTTTCGAAGCGATATAGATTATTGCTAGATCGGGTGTTTGAGTACATATTCGCAGCTGCGACTAACGGGGAATCTGGACATAAGCCACTGCTGCACTACGGCAACAAATACCTACGGTTTCTAAATAGAAATTACAACTAATGTTAAGCTGTAAAGTAATCGTAAGTACCTCCTTGTGAAAAAAATTGTATTTGGTATTGCAATGATTGCAAGACATGTTGCAACTTGAGTTTTGGGTAGATACTGATTCACTTTAGTTCACGTTAAAAGCAAATGTATGTCTAAGAACAATTAATTATTTTTTTAAGAAAATCAAATTCCAAACATAAATATTTACTAGTGTCAGATTGTCAGATGAGATGACTAACAGCTGATAAGAAGCGATAGGCAAATATTTGGCAACGCTGTTGGACGGACGCCAGCTAACAACTTCATCCCTTTCCATTTTTATTGTTCAATATTTTAAATGAAGACTATGAAACGTTTAATAGAAGTCGTTTCTAATTTATTCCACATAACGCTCTATTTTATAAAGGTCAATTACAAAAACAATTATATGTGATAAGCGAGTAAAAAGGAATTTCCGAAATATTCAAGAGTTTCCAATATTTTTTTACAACTTGTTTATTTTATATAGATTACTTCTTGATCAGTTGGCCATGACTAACTAAATTTCCAAAAATCGGAAACGTACACAATTAGTTTCCAAATTAAGTGCTAGGTTTCCTTTTCAATATATAAAGTTCTTAACCCAAATACTCGGATTATGAGTGTTTTTGGAAAACGAGTTTAACAGCAGATCAAGTTGGTGATTAATTATCTATGATGATTTATTGGACGAAACGTGTGATTTCAAATCGGGTAGTTCCACTTTGTAGATGCCCACAAGCTAGCCCGGACAATTTTTTTAAATGTTGTGAAAGGCAGTCAATATCGAGGCACATTTCGGATTTAAACATGAAAAAAACACATGTAGCCTGTTCATAAAAAGACTGCGAAAAAAAATTGCATTTTTAAATTCCTGATTTTTGCTTTCCATTTTACTCCAGATTTGCTTTTTACATTAAAGAAAATGATGATTAAATCCAAAAATGTTACCACCAAAACGCGAGAAATTTTTAAGGTGCCACTTTAACACCTATTTAGTAGTCATAAAAGGCTACATGAATCCTGTTTTCTTGTGACTGCAAAAAAATTACATTTTTAAATTAAAATTCTTAGTTTTTGCTTTCCGTTTTACTCCAGCTTTGCTTTTTACATTAAAGAAAATGATGATTAAACCCAAAAATGTTACCACGAAAATGCGAAAAAGTTTTATGGTGCCACTTTAACAGCTATTTAGTAGTCATAAAAAATCGCATGAAGACTTTTTTATGACTGCGAAACTGCCCTACAACTCGCTCAGAAACTGGGAGTTTTTGATCTATTCGAACAAAAATATCGCTTTGAAAGCAGGGATTAAAGAGTTTCTATATACTTTGTTTTACAATGCACGGAACGAAGCGTTTATTTGTGAGATGTGGGATGAGTCATTTCCACTTTCCTTCCGAAAGAACCTTTTTCAATATTTCCATTGCCGACTTCCAAGTAGAATTATTTACGGTTAGCGGAAATCTAGAAGTATTAAACTTTGAGTCTCTGGCTTTTAATTTAATTCTTTAATGTCCCTCCAAGTCAGGAAATTTCCGACATCGTGACAACATCGCTTAGAGAAAACAGCGCGTGTTTGACGATGCGCATGGCATGTCCCAAAGCGATCATGTGAGATGCGCATCGACCCTTCGGTTCCCAGGCATCACTCTCTATCCTGTTGGGTGAGCTAAGGACAGAATGCTGTAAATCAGAATCCGAAAACCAATGGCCATTCAGATGATTCTGCATTCAGTTCCAAGAATATCGCTGTGTGGATGTAGCGTTCCGTAGTATTTCGGCCCAGTTCGGGAGGTTTCGTGCCTGCCATTTTTGTTTGTCTAGCGAACAATTTTTCTAATTTCTAACAGTTTCTAGTTAGTTTTGTGATTGTTTGTTAAGGGTTTCATTTGATGTGATGTTAAGTTTGTGCTGCTGAGTGTTCAGAAACGAAGTTAGTGGGTGAGTTTATTCAGTGAATCTCAATTCATTAGTTTGGTACATGGATCCATTGTTGAAAGATTTCGTTTTTTGGCTGGCCCAGCTTATCTCAGGCAATAATTTGTAGCAAGGCTATTCTCATTAACTTTGTGGAGGTTGATGTAGACTCTCATAGACGGGAAAATGTTCGCGACAAATTGCTGCAACAATTACCTGGAAACTTATCTTACTTGTTGTGCATGATCATTTTAATTGATACATACATACAGGGTGGTTTTTTTAGTGCGATCCAGTCTATTATTTCTGATGGTGTTGAACTTTCGAAAAATTGTTTCATTTTAAAGTTGTTGACGCACAAAGTGCGCACATTTCAAAAATATTTTATATGATACAGAGTGTCTCAGAAAAGCGAGGCAAGATCAAAGTGTATTTTTTTAAATAGAACTACCCATTTTTCTTTAGCTCATGGAATGCAGCTTGAAACGCTGCATATGCACCGTAAATTGTTTTTTTCTTACTTGCGACGTTGGCATATTATCGCCACTTAAGTAAAATTTTGCTTAAAAACATGGACCAATCCAAAAATTCATTGTAGAAGCAAAAAAAAGCAGTTGAAGATACAAAAAAATACGTCTTTCTAAGCACCACAGGGCCGCTAAGAATTCTATTGAACCGAAATATCAATACATTGTACAGGGTGTTAACAATGTGGACTTCAATCTAAAACTTTTTAACGCAATATAACTTTTGTTTTTCAAATGGAAGTACCTGTATATTAAT